TTTTATTTTTTTTATTACTATTCTCGCTATTCAAGGACTAATCCACCTGCATCTGATATAATGGGCTTCCGCTTCGGGGTAGGTGGATCAGTTGTCTCTTTCTTACTTGAAATAAAGCTTAAACCAAACCAATTTATCATTATCAGCCAGCAACATAAATATAATATTTTTCATTAAACACACTACCTCAAAATAAATTAATTAAATATTTCATTTTCTACATCCATATCGAGTCGAAATAGATTTGGCTGGAGTTTTTTTGCAGACGAGTTGAAGAAAAATTTTTTTTTTGCAAGTTACTTATAAGTATAAGGACGTGACTACTTCGAAAATATCTTTGCTCACGTCTTTTCCGTTACCGCGATTATCCGTAAAATAACTAGCTTTTCTGCCGGCTACTTATAATCATACCTTTATGAATAAAATAATCATAAGTCGCTCGAGTACAGTATAGAGACATGTTGCCAGGTGCGAGCTTACTTTGCATTGGTAGAAATCGTGAAAAAAATCAGAAGTCCGACACCGTTAAAAATGGAAAAAGTCCAAAATTTAGAAAATTTTCGCGCTCTCCCCGCCCATGGACAACATTTTTATAAAATTACAACTGCCAGAGAATTGAAGTACAAAGCTACAGCTGCCTAAGTAATCAATTTCACCAAAAAATCTTGTCTTTGAAGCAATAAATAAGAGCCAGTTTTTAGGAAATAATGCCTCTTATCTCGGTAACGGAATAGACCTGAGCAGAGATATTTTCGAATTAGTCATGTCCTTATGCTTATCAATAACTTGCAAAAAAGATTTTTGTTCAACTCGTCTGCAAAAGAATTCCAGCTAAATCTATTTCGACTCTATATGTTAACCATTATACAAAAAGTAAAACCTAAAACGTATATAATATATAATTTTGTAATTTACAATTATACATTAAAAACTTTTACATTATTCCGAAAACTTCTAAATGGAAATTAAACGTAATTATATTCTCAGACTAAACATAAATTTGATCCAACTCACTAGAAGCATGAAAAGACAAGGGTGTACTTAAACTCCATTCCTGATCCTAATATCCTCTCAAATTTATCAGTACAACACGCTTCTCCTCAAAAGCAACCCAAATAATGAAAAGAATATAACCATTGATAAAAAAGAAACAAAAGCCCCCAAAGAAAAATCACAATTCAAAAATAGCATCGTATCAGCATAATCTCTATAACGATGAGGTCTGCCTACTAAACATAAAAAATGCTGAGGAAAAAAAGTTAAATTTATAGTAAAAAGCATAATAATAAATTGAACCAACAGATATTTAGAATTTATTAACTTATTAACCCAAATAAAGGAAATCCATAAAAAAAAACAGCCAAAATATTAAACACTGCTCCCATTCTTAAAGCCTGATGAAAATGAGCAACGGCAAGACAAGTATCATGCAAAGCAATATCCAAACTAGAATTAGAAAGAACAATCCCAGTCAAACCATGCACGGCAGAAAGAGAAATGAAGCTTAACACTCAAAGCAACAAGTACAAAATCAAACTTACAGATACTATCTGCTAAAGTCCGAACTTAACTAAAAATCTTAATTCCAGTAGAAACGGCAATAATCATAGTAGCAGCAGTAAAATAAGTAACATTCATACTATACAGGATGAGCAAAAAACCAAAACAAATGCAAAAATAGGATTCACTCCCCTCTACACTCTAAAAATACATGTTCTTCGTGTTTTCAGAGAACGAGTTGAAGATCTCATTTAAGTTCTTTGAAATATGAAAAGCTTAATTTTTATTTTTCAATAAAAAATGAGTTTTTCACTCATTTCAGTTTTTGGGCTCATTCTAGTTTTTTAGAAATTTTATTGTTCAGGATTTGGAAAACACCATATTTCTTTTGAGTTCTCTGAAGATCTCGAAGTCGAAAAAGGAAAAGAAAATCACATATTTCAATCACAGCTTTTGCTTTGCGATTCCTAATATATTTAAAGGACATGACCTTTTCTTACACAGTTTAAAGTTATTCTCAGAAAGTTCTATTTATATACAACAATGTGCACACTTCGATAACACGTTTGCTCTTGACAATAGAGTTCTAAACTTCGACTCGAAGCCAAAGAGGCGAGTATCTACGATGTTTGGAGCCTGATTCGACTCTGGTCGAATCATGTCCCAAATGACCGTCGAGTTAGGATATATAGTTTTCTCTACTTGTCCAGGTTACCAATTGACAATATTTACACTGAATAAAAGAATAATTCTGCATATGATCACAGATATCGCATTGATTAAAAATAGTTGACTGGTGAAAAGAGGAATTAAGATCCAGATTTTTGAGAAAGTCGAGAACAGAAATGTTCTCAGAATTTTCGACCTGATATTTTTTGGAAAACAAATGCCCCAAATGAGGATCTAGAAAAACGAAATTTCTGCTCTTCCGGAAGATCAGTTTTGCAAATTTTCAGAAAACTCACATCAGATCCCTATTTGGGACAAATGAAAAACACAGCTTCAGTTTTCTGAAGAAGTTCTTTGTTTAGAGTGTAGGATAAAAAAGAAGTACCAAAATTTCTATTCACTTTATTAACCGATGTAAATCGCATTCCCTCTCATTTTCTTTCTCTGTCCAAGTGATGAAGTATTGAAAACGTTTTTGTACAGAGAATAACCCAGCCATCTTACCATCTTTCAATCTATTTTAATTTTTTTTTTTCTTCTGTGTTAATCTTTTAACTTTTATTAAAGCAGACCAGCATGCGAGACAGAGTCAAATGCCTCACTGGAGTTTAGGAAAACTGCTCTGATTAGATGGTGATTCCCAAAAGCAAGATGAATACTATGGATCAGATAGATTAACTGGCTAACAGCTGTAAAAACCTATGATGGAAACAACATTATGATGTTGTTAATAAATTATGTTTTGTTAAATAGCGTTATGATCAAACGGCATCTGTGTCCTTATGGTTTTTGCAGCTTGCATTTTTTTCTCCAGCCGAAAATAGAATTAACAAGATTAATTTTTAGAAGTTTGACCTTGAAAAGAATGGAAGTTAGCAGCCAGAAGATAAAGATTGGTCCCTTTGAGATGCGGTAAATTCCACTTTGATAGCTATATGGTTCTTTTCAAGTATATTTGTCAGAGAATCATAAAAGAACCATATGGTTTTCTTCTTAAAGAAGTCATTTAAAAAAATAAGACTGTTTTGTTCTTCTTATATGCAATCTCAATATATAGGTATCTTAATTCGTACCGACCAGCGTGTTTTCACAGTACATAATCCAAATACTCTTTGCCACACTTTTATGGTCAAGATATAAATGGTATGTATTATTCGCAAGAGCTGAGAGCAGTTTCATTTATGTGAACGCTACAATGTGATTTACTCTTACTTCACTTGTGATTTTGATTTCGGCTTGAGTTTGCGATGGAGCCGAAACCTCTAAATTTGTATTGTTATAAATTTGATTATCAGTGAATGCATTTAACTAAATGACAGAGAAGAGTATTATTATAAATTAAAAATTTGCTTCAGATAGTGAATACTCACACATTGTGGAAGTCCAGTTGATGGTTCAGTTGTTGTATTAATCATCTAATAATACAATTCAATAAAATTGTAATACAATATCTAGTAGTACCACTCAATAAAAAAGTTTTCATGACGCTCTAAACTTACTTATGCGCAATCATCCAGCACATCAGCTTTCTGTATTGGAAAACTTTATGACTCGACCATAGCATCTTGGCATATTCTCATATTTGTGGTTTGTAAAGTATGAGCATTATCATCATTAAAATTATATGGATCATACTTGGAAATACCTGAAAATTCACAAACACATGGAACCGAGAATCCCACCTATCGCATGAAAGGATATTAGTTAGAACTAGCTCTTTGCCAACTTTTGTTTCAGCCTAACAGTACAATCTTAACATGAGAAGTCGAATTATAAGTAACTTGGAAAACATACACATTCAGTTGTTTGTGTTTCTTGTTCGTGAGTTTCTTTTTTGCTTCTGTTTGCCATCCTCAAAAGTAAATCGCCAAATTTTTTCATAATTCTAGCCATATTACTCGTAGCTTCCTTGATCTGATTCATATCTTGAAAAACAATGTTTCATTTCGTCATTTAGCGCTTTGACATTTTGATCTAAATTATGAAAAATTGGGCAAGCATTAATCTGATCAATAACATTTCTTTGTAAAGAAGAAATTTCATCATTTGTAGAAGGATTTATTAGCGCGATACATTTTGACGGTATTTCACTAACGCGTTGACGTTTTCTTGACGCACATGTTGATACTGTTGTATATGATTCAACTAATTTTTTATCATCAGTGGCAAATAATATTTTACCACTGAATATCTCATTGCCATACTTGCCTTTAACAGTAGCGCCAACTAAACCTTCACTTTTGTAATTAATAAAATCTTCTTTGGATAGAACAATCGTAGTATTATCGGCAGTAAAATAAATAAGAAAAAACTTTGGTATATCTAATTGGAAATTAATAGATAGAAAATAAATAACCTAACTATTCTACTTATGACATTAAGATTTACAAGATATAAAACGTAAAGTTAGCTTGATTGTAGTGCTTGTGAGTTTATTAGATTTCGTAGTCGTTTTACTATCAATACTGTAATTTCGATGTATGTATATTTTCTATATAATCGTGTAAAAACTCAATTAACGTCTGAGATTAGTATTGTGCATAATAGGAATGTAATCTTACTTTGAGACATGTTTGTCATTCATCATCTTACAGATTGATGTTTAGAATTTTGTCAAAAATTTTGATGCAGACAATGATAAATCTCTCGATTTTCTACTAACTCCAAAAACTCACGATATTCCGATAATTAAAAATATACGATCGTCGTCAAACCAACCGATACAGCGACATTACCGCGAACGACATTACCGCGAATACAAAAAACGACATTACCGCGAATACAGAGAACGACATTACCGCGAAGACTTGTTTGTTGGAAAAGCCGAATAAATGA